ATGAAACACTAAGACGTTTTTTCCACTAGAGGGCGGTAACTGCTCAGGGTTTCATAAAAAGGGCGTGAAGGACCCAGGAGCTGTAAGCGAAGCAGCGACGCAAATAAAACAACTTGTTCTCCGCGAAGAATAAGGAACTGCACACATGAGGAGGTCGAAAGGCCGATACTGAAACACTCGTGCAATACCCATTAGAAAAAACAAGTCAAGTTTTAGCAGGACCGAAAGAGGAAGTAATTTACAGACTTGTTTAAGATTATCTAAATAATGTTCAATGGGCTTTATTTATACAGGTATAAATGCTTCATGGTGATTCGCATCAGATACTGCTTAATCTGGTGCATCAAACTGGACTGACATTTTATTCTGTAAGGAAACTGTAGAAACCCATAGACATTCCTTCGAGCATGTGATCCATGCCAGATCTCATTTTCCAAAATATTTTTAAAAGCAAATGGCGTCACTGGAAGCAAATGGATCTCTGCAGAAAATGTTTGCGGGTGGTGCGATTACACATGCAAACAGGTGCTTTGCGGAAGTTCAAGGCCACTTTTCTCTGTAGTAGGTCATTGGCGTTTTCTTGCATTTACTCTCATTCCTGAATTTGGGCTTTGCTATTCTCCACCTTCCTGGACCTTTCAGAACCCTCCCTTCCGAGTGCACACATCCTCCGAGAGAGCTCAGTAGGTATTCTGAGATGGTGCTGGCTTGAGGTTCGAGATCTTTTCAGGAGTAGACGGACGTCGTTGTCTACACCGGTCTCTTCCCTCACATGTTTTGTGCTGGCCTCAGCTGGGAAAGCGCCAACTACAGGATCCTACAGCCCTTTTGGCTACGCGCATTTGTTGGCCCCTCTCTATCCTAACGCTTCCCAAATCGTCTTCGTAATTTTTGGTCAGCAGCAGCGCCAAGGGCCCAGTTTCCACCCCACGGCGTTTGCAAACGCGGAGGGAGCCCGGCAGGCACCCTCTTCCTCTTCCTCTGCTCTCCTCCGAGACTGGGCTGCTCCGAGATTGTGGACATTCTTTCTCCCTGTGTTTCTACTTAGCCCCCTGCTCGACTATTCGTCCATTCGCACAGCATTAACAGGAACCAAGCCGGTCTTTGATTCAGCCCAAACAGGCCCCACTCGGCGAAGTGGAGTTACTAAAAGAAGTCATCCAGACAATTCAAGCAAACACATTTTAGAGAGGTTTTTGACCTGAAACACGCACTTCATTCCCCCCACCTCCCTACTTTTGTGAGTATAGAGTTGGCTTCCTATAGAACACTTGGGTATCCGGACATTTGACATTACTGTATTTGGGGAAAATAGTTATCATTCATCCCTGACTGCTAAATTTAAGCACATTTAGCTGAGACTTCGTTTGCGTTCCTTCTGTGAATTACTCAGAATTTGGTGGCTGTTCCTTCAACTTAAAACAGAAGTACAAAACGCGCTAGGCGTTAGACAGAGGGTAGGATGGGAAAGTGGATAGGGCAGGCAGCGAACAGTAGGAGCAGACTAATGCAGTAACTTGAAAACAGGAGAGTTTATCTGCAGGTTCAAAGAAAGTCAAGGTAGGTAAGGGGCGCGTCGCCTTCCTCACCCCTATCCTTTTAAGCCCTTTTTGCAACCTCAGAATTTGCCAAACCGTTTTCATTTACTTTTCAATTAAAATGCAAATCATTCGCTTTCAAACACCTCCCTCCCTACACCCCCCAAATATATACTGTGCGGAGAGGCAAGGGGTGCCGCGACCACGTATTACACTTTCTATTTCTAAGGGTTAGAAATATCCGACTTTATTAAGTCTTAAATAGAAAGGAGTGAGGGTCCTGGGGGTCCCCAAGAGAGTTAAGTCCTGACTGTCTAGGACGTTCCTAAGCCTTCCGTAAGTCTGCCGGACAGAAACGGGCCTCCCGCACCAGAGTAGGCATCTGCGGGATCTGCTCTTGCAGGACTCGGTCCCGAGGGTATTAGCTCCACGGGGGCAGGACCATCTCTCGCCGCGAGTGACAGGGGGAGCCCACCCCCTCCGAGGACGCCCTCGGCTCTCCCTGCTCGCAGCTGGAGGCAGACGAAGCAGATCGATGACAGCCCGCACCAGGCAGGAGGCACCCGCCCTCCTTCATCGCTGTGCGGTGTGTGTCTGGAATACACGCTGTCCCACGCGGGATTCAGGCACCAGGGGCTCACCCCTGGGAGCTGAGGTACAAGGCCCCAGACATTTTTTTATTATCACAGTTACAAATAATGCTGCTCTTTTAATCCCTTAGTGTGAATGATTTTTTTAAAAGCAAATGATGGAGACTTGCTACTGGCACCAAGCTTTGCAACAATTTACCAGTGGCAGTTAATCTGGTTGGGTTGAGTTGGGTTGAGTTGGGTGCCACTAAAGCTTTATTCTTGAGGTATTTATTTTTATTTTCTGCTAATTAACTTTGGACTTAATGATCTCATCTAAATTGCTTTAGTGACCCCCCTCAAAGGCAGTTGGGTTGAGTTGAATCTCAGTTTCTGTCTCTCTCTGTCTCCCCTGCCTCCACCTCCCTTTCTCTGTCTCTTCTGACTTTCTTCTGATTTTTCTATCTTCACGCCACCTCATCTAATATTAGACACTAAATTTACAACAGGAAAGTGAGCAATTATTTCCCAGGTCATAATATCTACATGAAACAAAGCGGGGTGGCTTTTGAAATTCGAATCTTTGGGGATCACTGGCCTTCTTCCTTCTCTATTCCTACCTGATCCTTGAGAATGCGGTGTTCTGGGGATTTTGAGTAGATCACTGGTGGCCCAGGGGCGGGATACAGGCGATCTGTGTGCCACCGAAGGGTCGTATCTTCCGAAGCAAAAAAACCTTTCATTTTTAACGAAGGGAGAGGCAGAGGGGCCCCCGCGCCCGGCCAGAGCTGGGCTGCGCGGCTCCCTCCTGCCGCAGGGAGCTGGGGTTCACATCCACAGCCCAGCCTAGCATCCCGGCGGGGAGACTAAGATGGTCTCCACATCAGTTCTCTTCTTTCCCGACTCGGGTGGGGAAGGAATTCACTTTCCCCAAGAGTGATTCTAAAGTCTATGAAGTGATAGATTTCGCCTAGTCTCGAAGTCAATGAGTAAGTGTGGAGGGGAAAAAGGGGGACCAAATAAGAGCATTACTTTTGTCTAGGAAGTGAATAATAACGTGGCAAGAGATAAACAAACAACAACAAAAACCCTCAAGCTCAAGATCTACAGCCCTGAAACAGATCAGTGCGTTGGAAACGAGAGTTATCAAAGCAGAATAAGACCTTTCGACTTTCGGTGTTTGGACCTAACTCGATCCATGGGTGGTGCCACTAAAGCTTTATTCTTGAGGTATTTATTTTTATTTTCTGCTAATTAACTTTGGACTTAATGATCTCATCTAAATTGCTTTAGTGACCCCCCTCAAAGGGGTGCTATTTTAACATCTTGAAATCTCAAAATTGTGTAAGGGTCTTCTTCCTCAAGTACACAGTTCAATCCTACCCGAAAATTAAAGACCGCTAAGGGTGGAGGAGATTGAGAAAAAATAATGGAAACCAACATCCAACTCTTAAATCCTAGACTTCGCACCACTGCATCCCAGAAGTCAGGATATCTCCATCTCTTGAACAACCCAGGAATTGAGGGCAGGGGCCAGAGTTTGGAGACGGTTTTCAAAAACTTACAGTCAGGGCGGGGGGCGGGAGAGGGGAGAGGGCAGAGGGGTGATGGTGGTACCCAGATACTTCTGTATCTAAAGACTCCACCTCAATTTTGGTGATTCAACCCCTCCCCCCTTTTAAACTGAAACAAGTAACAATAATCAAAGGAGAGAAAAGTAAAAACAAAAAACAAAAACCTCACTGCTTCAGGTCTAAACATCATACAAGAAATAGATATTCCTATTAAGATGATTCCGTTCCCTGAGAATTGAATAAAACTGTAAACGATACCGAGGGGGGACCCAGGAATGAAAAGAAAAGTGACGAAGAAAGAACAGAGAAAGTGGGAAGTTGGCAAAGATGGAACAGGACGATCCTTGGCCTACAAGGGGATTAAGGACATCTATAGGCTTAAGGAGCAACAAATTAATTTACACAATTCTGTGAGGGCCCAGATGGCCTTTAATTAATCCCTTCAAAAGAGGGAGCTAGGCCAGGGCTGCACCGGCTGCCTGCTCCATTAGCTCCGTTTTACAAGGGACCGGACTCAGTTCGAGGTGCGGCGTCGTGGGCTCAGGGAGGAACTAGGGGTAGGAGCGGTCAAGGAGGAGGCGAGGGAAGAATATGAACTGCTTTTCCATAAAAGGGCTGGGTTTTCATTATTCTCTTTAAAAAGTAATACCCTCTTCGTTTCTGCTCTCTCCTCCCCTTTCCCATTTCATTTAACACAATTAATTGAGGCGTCTTCTGGCCCAGGCGGGAGCAGCACCACTCGCCAGGCCCCGCCCGCTGGCCCCACCCACAGGCGAGATGGAGTTAGGAGAGGGTGGGGACCAGGCGGGCGCGGTCCTACGATTCTCTCGCCTCAGCCAATCAGAGGGCGCGGCGCTCTCGAGTGCGCGCCCCCAAAGGCGTTGTGAGGGCCAAGGCTGCGCGCTATTGGAGACGGTGGTTACGCCCCGGCCGGCTCCCGGCTCCTCGGCCCCGCCCCTCCCGGCCGCCTTGAAGTGACGTCCCTCAAAGTTCTCGTTTTGGACCCCCTCTTCCCTCTCCCCTTCGTCCCCCAGCTAAAGAGGGGTAGGGAGTGATGCAAATGTTTTATTACCTTTGAGAGCTTCATCTGAACTGTCAGGCCCAGAGGGAGAGAGGAGAGGACAGAGAGAGGGAGTGGAGGAGCAGCGGAGAGGGTCAGCTCGGCCAGAGGACAGGACTTAGAAGAGAGAAGCCTGTAAAGCCGCGAAGAAAATGCGAGACAGGAGCGGCAAAGGCGGAGAGTGAGAGGAAGAGAGGGTGCTGGGGGGTGGGACGGGGGTCTCCAGGCTCATTTGCCGAAGTGGACAGACGATAGGAGCCGTACCCGAAGCCGTCAGACTTCTCACACTTAGTCTTTGTTTTTCTGTGGGGTTTTTTTTCTCCCCCTTTTTCTTTTCAATATTGCAACGCTAGTGCCCCGTGGCCCAGAGGAGAAGGCGGGTCGGCGCGCCGAATCCGGGAACCGCCGGGACTGGTGGCACTGCCCTTTGTGGCTCAACAGCCTGCGGCAGCGCCGGCGGAGGAAGCCCGCCCGGAGGCGAGATACTCCTGGAGGCTGGATGCTCTCCCTCCCCACGCTCCGCGAACGCCAAAAGCGAATCAGACTAGCGGCCGAAAGAGCAGGGCATACCAGTAAGATTGCAGGAGCGCTTCGGGCGGAACCTGGCGTCCCTTGAACCTCCCCAAAGAAAGCGAGCCAGCCCCCCACCCTCCGACATCAAAGTGGAGACTCGGTGATTCTTAACTCTAAACTTTGTTACAAACTCTCTGGGCCCTGCCTGAGTTTTGTTTTGCTTATTTCCCGGGGGGAGAAGATGAGAAGTAGTGCACTTTGAGCGGCGAGGAAAGGTGAGGAAGAGATCGAGATCGAATCCCGCACTCTTAGGAGCGAAAGGACAGCGAGACCCCCGGGCGCCCTCTGGTCTCGGCGAGCCACCCACTCTCGAGTGGCGTGTTTGGACATTTCTGCTGCGTAGCGCCGAGAGCAACTCCCGGCGGCGGCGTTCTCGGCCTAGCGGGCAGGTCGCCTCCTCGCTCGCGCGCTCCGCGCCTCTCGCACTCCTGAGCCCCGCCCCGGGCACCGGCCCGCGCCCTCGCTGCGTGGCTGTGGGCTCCGGCCTGGCCGTGGGATGCTGGCGGTAGGGGCGATGGAGGGCACCCGGCCGAGCGCGTTCCTGCTCAGCAGCCCGCCCCTGGCCGCCCTGCACAGCATGGCCGAGATGAAGACTCCGCTGTACCCCGCCGCGTACCCCCCGCTGCCAGCCGGACCCGCCTCCTCCTCCTCCTCCTCGTCCTCGTCGTCGCCCTCCCCGCCTTTGGGCGCCCACAACCCAGGCAGCCTGAAGCCCCAGGCCGCGGGGGGACTCTCGTCCCTGGGCAGCCCCCCCCAGCAGCTCTCGGCCGCCACCCCGCACGGCATCAACGACATCCTGAGCCGGCCTTCCATGCCCGTGGCCTCAGGAGCAGCGCTGCCCTCCGCCTCGCCGTCCGGTTCCTCTTCTTCCTCTTCCTCGTCCACCTCTGCTTCCTCCGCCTCGGCAGCCGCTGCAGCGGCTGCTGCTGCGGCGGCGGCCGCCTCATCCCCAGCCGGACTGCTGGCCGGCCTGCCCCGGTTCAGTAGCCTGAGCCCGCCGCCGCCGCCGCCTGGCCTCTACTTCAGCCCCAGTGCCGCGGCCGTGGCCGCAGTGGGTCGGTACCCCAAGCCGCTAGCCGAGCTGCCCGGCCGGACGCCCATCTTCTGGCCAGGAGTGATGCAGAGCCCGCCCTGGAGGGACGCGCGCCTGGCCTGCACCCCTCGTGAGTACAGTTTCCCGCGCCCAGTTGTGCGTGTTCTGCCAGTTCTCAGGTCCTGGTCTTTGGTACGCACGCGGATCGTCCCACCCTCTTGCCTCCCCAGTAGTTTGGCAGCGCCGGAATCGCACGACTCAGGCCGAGCAGGTCATTCAGAGAGGGATTCTTGCTTTCCTGAGCTCGCGTGCTTGCATTCAAGCGCTCGCCTCTCCCCAAGCCTTTGGAAAGCCTCGCAGAGCGGGTCGCATGCGTCCCCGTGGAACATTACACCAGTAGGGGTTTGTATAATCCTAGGCTCTGGCTGCTCCTGCAACAGCCCAGCTGGAACCTCAGGCCCGGCCTGGGTTAGAGAGGTGGGAAGTGCAGAAGAGCGCACTATGTCCCTGCCTTCACCCCCGCTTTCCCGACCCCTGCCGGCTGGCCAAGGCCGCATTACACCTTCGCCAGCCTAACTGGGCTCTCAGCGAAGCGGTGGGGATTACTAGTAGCAAGCCTTCACAGCCCTGCGCAGAGCGCGTGTATCTGCATGTATTTCTCGGCCCTGAGTGTCCCACCTCATCTCTTCCCTTCGCCGCCCTTCACCCCTACCCCAAGTACACTTGGCCTGGGTGAGACCATCCCCCCTGAAGTCAGGCCCGCAGCGCCGTTACTTCGTGCACGTCCCCACAGCCGCGCCCTCGGTTTCCCAGCTGCCTCGCGGCCCTGAGGGACAACGTCTTGGTCCCGGGAATTTTGAGGAGCATCGTGGCCCTCAAGATCCTAACATGAGAAAGAACCTGAGGAAGAACGAGGTGACGGGACAGGACCAGGGAAAATGCAACATTCCTTAAGGACCTTGCTTGAAATAACTGAGCTGCCCGGGGATCACGCTTATTTTCTGGGTAGTTGGCCCCGCGTCGCAGAGGCTTCCAGCTTTCTAGGTGGCGTTAGGGGCCCAGCTCCAGGTCCTTTTCTTGTTCTGTTCTTCGCTTTTGACCAAGACCCCGAAGTTTCCTCCAAGTGTCGGGACCTCTTTCGTACGGCTGAGCGGCAGTAACTGAGGGAGGTTTAAGGAGCCAAGTGGAAGTTCCCTTGGGAAGCCTTGGGACAGAGCGCGCCCGGCGGCTGAGGGTATCGGGGAGATGCTATTGTGTTCGTTTTGAACGTCTTGTAGGGACCTCCAACAAAGGCATCATCCCCTCCCCCTCGGCCACAGAGGAGTTAGACTTGGGGGCGATTTAGCTTTGCTGTATGCAAAAAAACAAGGCTCCCTTTGTTGAGTGGATACAGGCTAGGAAAGCGTTCAAGGAAAAAAAACTAGTCATACTCATGCCAGGCTCCGGGGCCAACCAAGCACCTGGACTAGGAGGTGAGAGGAGCCTTTCCCCCCGCACGCCTCAATTTTCTGAGGCCTGGCGATTCAGCTCCTGCAAACTTTAGCGGTGCTCTCCCCTCGCTGTTTGACGTCGGTGTTGGGCAGAAGGTTATTTACTGCTGCTTCTAACACGTCCGATTTTTTAAAATAACAGGTGCGCATAAAAAAGGCAAATGGAGATGCGCGGCGGAACTGGAAGTACCACGACACTTCTGGTGCCTGCCGCGGAATAAGCTTTTCTTTCCCACCCGAACACTGGTTTTCAAATTGGCTTCTTTTCAGTGGAGCCACTTGTAACAGACTGCTTTTTTCCTTCCCTTGTTTACATGTTTTCACAGATCAAGGATCCATTTTGTTGGACAAAGACGGGAAGAGAAAACACACCAGACCCACGTTCTCGGGCCAGCAGATATTCGCCTTGGAGAAGACTTTCGAACAGACGAAATACTTGGCGGGACCCGAGAGGGCTCGCCTGGCCTATTCGCTGGGGATGACGGAGAGTCAGGTCAAGGTGAGTGGACTTTGCAAATCTCGAGGGATAGTCTCTTCTGCCGCGCGCGCGCGCACACGCACTCATACACCACACACACACTCAACTTCCACCAGTCCCCAAACAGCCGCCCGGGGGTGCGGATCGGAGGAGTCTGGGGAGAAGATGAGATCAGCGAAGCGGTGGGGGTGAGGGTTACAAAGGCTCTGGGGGCTTGCGGGCGGGCAAACTGATCATGAACAAAGGGCATCAAGCCCCCGCCTTTGAAATTAGGTTTATCTAGATAGCAGCATGTGCTGGGGAAACTCACCATTATTAGAGAATAAAAGCATTACCGAAATATCATATGAGAATAGATCAGGCCAGTTAGATAGCTTCACCTTATTCTGTTAGTAAAGATATTCAAGCTTTCGTTTGCCAATTCGGGCTCCACTAGTTATATCTTTTATTTACATAGATCAGCATTATAGTACTGCTATATTAACCTGCAGGTTAAAAAAAAAATCCACAGGATCTAACCACTTACTACGGATGAATCTGCTTTTATCTTAAGCTGAAGGCAAACACTGAATAGTCATTTTCCAGATGAACTGACTTGACTGTATTATGACACTGAATCCTGTTTAAAATAAGCTTACCAACATATGTAATATATTTTATTGTTTGTGATTACAATTTATAATTAAAACATTACTTAGCTTGTCATTGAGTTGTACAGTATATTTCCAGGGAATAAAATCTGAGAAATATTTCATTCAGAAGCAAAGGGATTGAGTCAGCGAGATAAAATTAAATCTAGTGGTTTCCTATATTTCCAGTATTCTCTTTTGTTCCTCTTCTTATTGTATTTGGTTTTTTTGTGGGGTGGTGGTATATGTATGTTTTCATTAATTATAGTGTTGCTCTTTAATAGGAATAATGTTAGCCATGTGTGTTGGTTAGAGTGCATTTCCACCCTGGACAAGCATCATAAAATGCATTTCAAGAGTGATTTTGTATGTGAGCATTAGAATACCATCACAGTTAAAATGAATTTTGCAATGGTTGGAACAGACTATCACAGTAATCTGGAGGTCTTCATTTGTTACCATAAATATGTCTGTATGGCCAGAAGTGAATTATTACAGCTGAATAAAGAAGATAAAGATCGCTTTCTTAACAATTATGATTCTCTAGATAAAATACATAACGGATGAGAAATATAAAGAAAGAATAATTCAATACGTTTAGGAAATTGGTTGCTTATTGCTGTTGCTTTAGGATAAAATTTGTTTATCAAACAGTGTCTAACACCATGAATAGGCTTAAAATATTTGTATGTAAAATGAATGTCTTGAGGGGGAACAATGTTAAAATAATATTTGAAAGTATAAGTGTGCTGATAGTGGGAAATAATGTAATTGGCAAAATTTCACTTTTTAAAAACTGATGAAATTCTAGCTTTGATTTTGAATCTATGGAAGACATTAACCAGAGAGACAGACACAAACCGCTGGGGTTTTCACTAAGCTATGAAATATTTTCATGTATTTGTTATTATTAGTGATTTGAGGTTTGTTTTAGCAGATTAAAAAAAAACTTTACACCATACATTGCAAGTCTAAGTAGAGAGGGGAGCGATTACGTACCACTTTTGTGTGTATTCAGATCTGAGATAAGTGAAATAGACAAATAGCCAAAAGTGGAAAGGAGAACAAAGGTAACTGGAGTAAATTATATGCCTTCTCCCACAAGTCACACTAAAAAGCAAATGCACTTCGGGAAGAAAGTAAATAAGGAATAAAGTCACAGTTCATTATGCGGCAACTTTATTTAGGGGAAAAGTTTTCTACTTCAAACTGGTAAGTTGGGAAGCGGACTCATTTTTAGGGACACTTATTTTAAGTTTCCAAGTTTTTTCTCTTCTGAGAAATCCTCACTGAAACCTCAATACTCTTGTGTTACTATCGCTATGGCAACGGCAGTCAGTTTGCTGGCGCCTGATCCTCGGAGGAGGCTGGGGCGAAGGAGACTGACTGTGACAGCCCAGCGAGGGAGGGCGGCAAGCCGTCGGGGGCCCGCAGGCGCGACGTCGGGATTCAGGAGAGGTGGCATTGCCTTCACTTCCTCGCGCCTTTCTCTCCGCTCTGCTCTTCTTTCTCGGCCCACAGGTCTGGTTCCAGAACCGCCGGACCAAGTGGAGGAAGAAGCACGCGGCCGAGATGGCCACAGCCAAGAAGAAGCAGGACTCGGAGACCGAGCGGCTCAAGGGGGCTTCGGAGAACGAAGAGGAGGACGACGACTACAACAAGCCCCTGGACCCCAACTCGGACGACGAGAAAATCACGCAGCTGCTGAAAAAGCACAAGTCCGGCGGCGGCGGCGGCGGCGGCCTCCTGCTGCACGCGTCCGAGAACGAGAGCTCGTCCTGAGCGCCCGCCGCGCGCCGGCGCCTGCTGGCCTCCGGCCTCCGCCCGTGGCCCGCGCGCGTCCCGCCTCCCCGGCCCCGCCTGCGGGGCCTCTTTGCTAGTTTCTGAGATGTACATATCTATTTTTTTAACCCAGAAGTTGAGGGGGGCGGCGGACGGAGACTCGGGGGTTGGGCAGAAGGCTGAGACGACCGCGAAGTGCGCCGCAGCGATACCGCCGCTGAATCTCGCCGCTGGGCCACCAGCCTCCCAGCCCGGCTTGTCCCCCAGCCCCGCCCCCACCCGCTCCGGGCCCCGCCGGGAGAGGCCCCGGCGTCCCCCGCCCGCGCCCCGGCCGGTGCCCCCGCGGCCCGCGGGGGGGCGCGCGGACAGGGTCCTGGGAGCGTCGGAGCCACGCGGGCGGGCGGCCGCCGCAGATGCGAAGAGGGACGCTTCTCTCCCAGCAATCTGCAGTGCCGACTAAAGTAACCTGTTGAAGGCTCTTTGTAAATAAATCGTGAGTCACACTGACTAGAAGTTACTTTATTGTGAATATTTAAAATGTAAAATGCTTTTTGAATTTGGTATAAAAAGATGGACTCCTTCCTTTTACCCTTCGCCTTTTAAGAGCTCTTCAAACCACACGTTCCCCTTTGATTTTGAACTTAATTTGAGAAGCGTAAAAGAGAATGTTCTCGCCCTCCCCCTCCTCTCACTCCTTTGCCCTCTTTGGATTTGTTCAATCTCACGTTTCCCTTCATCCCTTCTCGCTCTTCCCTGAACACCTCCTGGCTCCGCGCCTGGCTCCCGCCTCCAGGACTTGAAGTAGAAGACGTGGAACCAGGGAAGGCCTCAGACCTGCTTCTCCATTCCTCTCTGAAATTGCACAGTCGTTTGTTGCTATTTATTAGTAATTTGAAGAAAGTATTGGGGAGGGAGGGGCTACAATAGCTTGTATTTAATTTAACTCCTTTCTGATAAAAATGCGTGTTAAAGTAGATGGTGGGAATTGTTACAATTGCTCTGGGTCAGAAACATAAAAATCCATTTAGTTGCTGTAACTGAATTTGAAGTGTTTCGTATCATAAGAATACTATAGACTATGTATATTCTTTTTTTAAGCTAATAATGGTGATATATTAGTATCTTTAACCTTTATTAATTTATATAAGGAATTCGGTTTGTAAAGAGAAAATCCCCTTTGCAAGACCAGTTAAAAATGTAATGCACTTTCTGTTTCAAAGGATAAATCAAATTAAAAAGCAGTTTGAAGATGTCTGTTGCCTTGAATGAAAGGGTACACATCATCTGATCTCATCAGAGATCTCAAATAAAAGTCAAGACCACAAAAATTTTATATTGATTTCTTGGGTAAAATAGCTGTTGCTTTATTCATTAATTTATTTTTTGAAGAGTGACGTCACATCTCCATTCTCCTGGAATGGGAATATAAATGAAATGCAACCTCACTCATTGGGCTTTGGAGAGCCTTGTCTAGCAGGCTGCTTCTGATGTTGGTGATGTCTAATTTTTTCCTGATATCTTTTTACTTTGCAGAAAGTCCCTGGGGGTTGGGGGAGGATTGGGAGGAAGACCTCATTTCAATATGTCTTAGATAGCTCTTCAGAGGAGCCCTAGCTCACTTAGCTGAGAGGAGGAGCTGAGCTCCCTGGTGCAGCAGCACTGCTGTTGATGCTAACCTTTTACGCCCCCCCACCATAGTTCGTAAGAATACAGAAGTGGATGTAAAGATGGGAACCCCGATTTTGCTAAACATTACAATAAAGAAGGATGATTTAAAGAAAACTTTTTCAAACTGATGTGAAACTTTTTAGAGTTAGGGAAGCAATGTCATATCTTCTGCAGAATAATTTGTAAAAATATTGGGAATCCTAGAGAGAGGGTTGTATCACTGTCTTGAGATCTTTTTTCTTTCAGACACTAAGTTATAGGCTCAGTGAAATGTAGCTCTCCCTTTAGTGTTTCGGGTTAATGAGCTTGTGTTCAAAGAGAAAAATCAATAAAATTCAGTAGATTCTTCAGGCTAGTGTTAGGTAAAGAAAGTGTGGGTCTATTTTGTTCTTCCCTTGAAAACAAAAAACACTGAAAACTGGGAATGAAATTACCTGAAGCAAATTATTGTAGAATGTATTTCTGATGATATGGTTTAATGGAAAGAGAGGATGCAAACCTGCCCTATTTTGCCCCCTAGTTTGTCTGTGAAGTTCCCAATAAGTTTTAAACTTTGAATTTCTGTATTCTTAACAACTAAGGTGTATGTCCTATAGAGAGATAGCTATTTGAAAAGAGGCTTTGCTGTGTTGGGGTGATGTTATTTAAGTACTAGATGTAAATAATAAACTTTCTTTTCTTCCTTCCTTCCTTTCTCTTCTCCCTCTTTCTCTCTCCCTCATTCTTCATGAAAGAACCTGAGAGGGGTGAGTGGGGATCTATTATCCCAGAACTTCATTTTATTATTTGTTAATTTGCAACAAATGAAAGTCTCTTATCTACTTTATTATTATTTTACCTTCACCGACCCCCATTTCTGCCTTGAAAAGCCAAGCAACTTGATATTTATTCTTTCTTCCTTAGAAAACACAAATTCACAACATGATTAGAAATGCTATTCCTAGAATATAATAATAATATTAGTAGTAGTAGTAGTAGTAATAGTAGTAGTAATATAATATTAATCATAGATTTCTCAAGAAGTAAATAGGCTTGTAGTATTTATTCTAAGTTAGAGATGTGGAAAGATACCTCTTCCAATTCGTTTAGGAAGCATTACCTCTGTGCTCTTCACCTTCACATTTAGAGAAGTGGGAAAGCTGGTGGCCTAGCCTATACACTACAGGCAAATATGCAGAGGGCAGACAGGGCCTGCATGCTTGCCCACCTGAGCCCTGAAGTGCTCTGAATTCAGTGGTAGGAGCCAGAGTCAGGCTTCTGGGGTCATAATGCACTGGCATTAACTCCTTTTTTCCAGTTGACTGCAGCAGTGACTTAAGGTTTCCAGTTAATTTACTCCCAGCTAGGATTCCAGTTGGCCACCAGTTTTACTCCCACCAGGATTCCAGCAATTAGCCACATAAAACGGCATAAGAGAGAAGTGGGTGAGAGAATAAATAACAAGTTGCTTGGCTTTTCAAGGCAGAAATGGGGGTGGGTGAAGGAAAAAAATAAAATAAAGTAGATAAGAGACTTTCACTTGTTGCAAATTAACAAATAATAAATGCAATTCAGGGATAACAGACTCCCCCTGCCCTCAGGTTCTTTCATGAAGAGTGAGGGAGAGAGGGAGAGGAGAAAGAAAAGAAAGAAAGAGAGAAAGAAAGAGGGAGGGAGGAAGAAGGAAAGGAAATGAAAGGATTGGAGAGGGGAGGGGAGGGAAGAAAAGAAAGTTTATTGTTTACACCTAGGACTTAATAACACCACCTAAGGGAAGGTGCCCCTTTCTCCTGGTTGGTTTGGTTTGGTTCTGTGTATGTGCAACAGGAATGTCTTTCCTAAGAGTTAGCACCGCAGGAAAGCTGAGGAAACACTCTGCAGTCAAAAAGAGAAAGTGGGAGTCATTTGTCATTTTGGTTCAAAAATTTTTGGCATTAATCAGCCATAAGCATCAGATTAAGGCTGCCAGCTAGCCATTACAGTTAAAGGGGTCATGATTTAAAAACAAAAAGTAACAGCAAGTGACCTGATGGAACACTACTCAAAAACTTTTTTTCTAGTTTTATTGAGATGGAGTTGACATACAACATTGTGCTAATTTAAGGTGTACAACTTAATGATTTGATACATGTGTATGTTACAAAATAATGACCACAGTAAGTGTAGTTAACATCCATCACTTCACATAGTTACAATGTTTTTTCCTTGTGATGAGAACTTTTCAGATCTACTCTCTGAGCAACTTTCAAATATCCAGTATAACTAACTACAGTCACCATGCTGTACATTACATCCCAGATGTTATCTTCCTTTTGACCAACTACCTTCACCCATTTCCCCCACCCTCCATTTGATCTCTGCTTTTTAAAAGGCTTATAAACAGCAAAATGTCAACATGGAAAACAAAATGTGAAAAACAAGGGTTTTTTTGTGTGTGGTGAAAGGAAGGATAAAAGTGCATTTTCATTTCTGCTTACAGTGTGGGTGTGTGTTCCTAAAAAGGAAAAGTCATTGGGGTTAGGTGAGGGACATACAGCAGAAGGGATGGACCTTCAACTTGTCTCTCTGATGTCCCAGCAGCATTCACAATTTGTAGCTTCTACTCAGTTTTTTTTCCCAGTCCCCAAAGTCTAAACTCAGTTCTCTTAATTGGTGATTAACCTCTTTGGTTCACATTCAGAGGATTCTGTAACTTAGAGCTCTATGCCTTCTTTTCCAGAAGCTGTGGTATACTGAATGGCACTCCAAGCTTGTGAGCACTTTAATCCACTTTGCCCTTTCCTCCTTGGGAGACAGTGGGAAGAGGGAGAACCAAAAATCACTTGCTCTTCTCTGTAAAGATGTGTCTTTCCTCATTGCACAGTATGGGGGCAGTTTGGACTGGAGGCCAGCTCTTTTTGGAAATAATGTACTAAGCAACAGTCTGAGGGTGCATTTGAAATCTTTTGGAGCCTAATGTCACAAAAATGACTATGTTATTAGACCAGCATCAGCTTAGGTCAGTCCACACTGTCTTGTCCTTTAAGCCGGTCATCAGCAGACACATACACATTGGAGAGGTGAAATTCCACTTGCGAACTCCTAGCACTGAATAGCCTAAAGAGACAGTGGCTCTTTTGTTAATCACTGACAATAGGATCATGTAATAACAACAGAGGTGAGCAGTAGATTTCATCTATAAAGTCTATTTTAGGCTAATTTGAACAACTCTCTCTGCACTAAATTTCCTCTCTTACCATACACACAAATGCATGTAAAATGTACTCTTCTTCCCTCTTCAGAGTGATTTTTTTTAAAAAAGCTAGTTCCTTAATTCACTTCCCTTCTTGACAGAAAAGTGCGTATTTTGTTCTACAGTATTTAAACTGCAACCTTCTCAGAGAAATACATTCTCCTTAATGTAGCCCTTTTCCAGATCTGCAGGAAACACAATCATATACCCCTGGCCCCCCACCATTAATGTAAAGTTTTACTGGGGAGTAGAGTGATGGTGTGAACAGGATGACAAAAGGAATAGGGTATTTTCCTGAATTTCGGTCCTCATCATTCCACAGATTGGCTTGGGGTTGCTCCACAGACTGGAAAGTTTGATAGCCTCAGTTCACTATCCAGTCTTCCTCT